AAAGTAAACATGGCAAACTCTTCAGGCAGCAGTGGTCAACCTCGAAAGATCATACTCTTGCGACGGAACTTGGAACCTAACATAAAATGTGAAGTTGTAAGGGAAGCAGTTAGGTAAGTATATATAGCTACGATTTTTTGATAATGCAACGGAACAAATCATGTTTGATATACAAAGAAGAAAAAATGGGAATGGAAGAGATTACTAAATAAGATCATATAGCAATGTCTGAAATATTGATTGGTGCATAACCACATGTGGTTTTGAACTACGACGCCATATATTTAAATAGCATGTTCCATTTTGGTTTTATTATGATGGCACTGACAGGTGCACTTTCACATGTTGAACCATGCAACATGTCAATGGTTGGTGGTGATGATATATAGTGTCCCATAATTATTTATCCAAAAAGAAATATGTGTTACAAAAAAACAATTACATATCCAATTATTAAAGAATTACAAGATACTCAAAAGTGTGGTGTTTTATTAGTTCTCTACATGGTTAGTATTTTGAAGACTACAGAAATTGCAGTGATGAGTGAATTCCTGCCACATGTTCCCAAACATGGCTGGGGTGATCGAGGCACATGCAGACGTAATGAGTCAGTGGAGTTCAGGCAGTAAGTTGGGGAGTGGAGAACATCAGGGCTCCATCCTGTTGGAAAACAGCAATGGCAAGCCACACTATATCCTGAATTTGTGGCACTGTACAGTTCTGATACGTCCAAGTACAAATCCAAGCACAGTGTTCTCTGACCCTGTCATGCATTCGTGGACAAAAATTAACCTTCCAGATACATCTTTAAATTTTCCTTTTTGGATGAATAATTATGGCCTGTTTTTTCACTGTAAATACTGTTCATGATGTCTCCCACTGGTGATCATATTCTAATTTATTAAATGATTCATGTGGAGATGTCTATTTCTGTGTTTTGCAGGATGATTGCATAAAATATATATTTCAAATTTTAAAGCTTACATTTAATGCAACATTAACTGTCTAAAACAGATTATCTAATTACAGTTGTGGTTGACATACTGCTATTCTATAGATATCCATCTTTGGCACTTCATTGTTTTATGTAATAAAATTCTGGGTGACATAACTGTTTTGTCTAACAGTGAGGACTCAGAAGGGGATACTGGTATAACAGTGATTTCCTCTCCGTCTGTGATGGAAAAGAATCTACATTTGAATGAGATGCAGCTGGCACAACGCAAGCGCAAGACATTTCGCTTGGAATGGCTTGATATTCCAGAATTCAAGGACTGGCTGAGTCCAGACCCAGACAGTCCATATAAGGCTCGTTGTCTTGCTTGCAACACAGTTCTAAATGCAGGCAAGAGTGAGTTAGAGAAGCATGCTACAGGTGCCAAGCATGAAAGAGCTGTAGTAGCTCTAAAACGAATGGTTCTTGAACAGCAGGTGTGGGATGAATCTAATGAGATGAATGAGGCAGGTAAGAAACCTTTATGACCCATCAGACTTGTAAACTACGTATTTTATAACATATTTTCTTATTAAAAAGTGATTAAATATTGACTCTGAAGAACTATGAATTAAATCCAAAAATATGTGTATCACAGTGATATTTTCAGTCTTTCCCATTATGATTCTAATGAGGGCTCCTGTGAACATGGTAATGAACCCTTAGATTCCATGAAACGTGGGTAATTTCTTGAGTGGCTCAAGGACTGCTCCATGGACTCGGTGACTCCAGTATAGAATATGTACATTGGATGATCATGTAGGTTAAAGATGCAATCCAAAATATATTTCTGTCTTATGTAGAATTATCTAAATCCAGAACAAGGAAGAAATTCAATTACATGTGTGTCCGTAAGCTGCATCATGTTATGTTGTCTTGTGAAGAACGATATGGGCTGGAACATCTAACTATAAAATTCTGTCCAAATTAATATTCCAACACTAATCTAACTACTTTTCAGACAAACCTGCTGTATAACTGAGGTGTCATAAAACCTGGCCAGTCATAAATGTATCTCATACACAGGGAAAAAAAAGGAATGAAAATTTACATTCATATACTCTGGTAAAAGTGGAAACACATAACACATTGATATGAGGTATTAAGTTTGTCATGCAACCAACAACTTTCACACCTGGGCGAAAGTAAATAAATTGCAGATGTACCTGAAAGTTCATAATAATTTAGATGTATTGTGTTTCACATCATACTTTCAGTTATGTATGAAAACATATAATACACTTTTATTCTTATTATTATTATTACACAACATGAATAATCGCAAGTTGAGAACATACACAATGCTATGATCCTCCTTGACTGTGCACTGCACTGAAAATGCAGCATAAACTATTTCCTCTTGTAAAGTCATGTTTAGAAAAAATTGTCAAAAAGGATCTATTTGTTATGTTCAGTGGCAATTGTTTGTGCTCTTTCTATAATGCAAGTTAGATTAAGAACATTAACCTGGGACTCCAGTAGTAATTTTAATGAAATTTTACTTGTTTTTGGAGGTGAACATTACAAGATACTTCAGTATAAATTTAGATGTAATAAATATATGGTACTGGGTTTTGGGTAGTGGTTGTTACAATTGTAAATAACAGTAAATACATAATGCTATTAAAAAATCTTCATTTGTATTTCCCAGCACCATTTTAGTTTTGTGCATTTGTCTCGTGTATCACAGAAGCCTCTAAACTAGTTCTGTTTCTCATACCATTCCAAATATATTTGTTATCTTCAGTCATTCTGTATAAATTCTTAGTAGACTGTCATTGAAAAGGATTAATGCATGTTATGTGACATTTACAGTGACTTTAATCATGTATTTTTCTTTACAGATGACGAGGATGACGATGAAATATATGACTCAAGTGTAAATGTGGGAACGCAAACCACATTTACTGGGTAAGTGTGAATACAGATTATTAACTCTTTGTTTTGTTTAAGTAGTTAGTTCACAGGTGAGCAAAGATTTTTGTTTGTATGTGATAGTGAGCACCTGGAACAGAATCAGCATCTGGAGGTGCTGAATCGCATCGCCTCCTCTGTTGACAGTTTGGCGGCATCTGCCGCAAGTGCTTTTGAGAGCCTCGCCAGACACCAAGAGACAATGAGTAACATATTAATGCAGCTGGTCAACAAGTAGTTTTGATTTTCAAATTAATTTGTTTAGTACAATATATGTTTATTTTTACGTGTATGAATTGCATGAAATTAAATTGATAACAACATTAACATCAGATGTTTAATATTTAAGATGGATATGCAGTTTGATGACTTTAAATCCTCATATTAATTGCTAAAGTATTGCAAAATTCAAACCATTCTCGAGCCTTCCTGATGTTCCCTACATATGTGCACGAAGGAGGAAAGAACACATGAAAATCTGCACTGGACCCAGGTATTCTCAAACTTGTGACCTGTACAGGCCAGTCAGAGCCTTGTAGGATGTGAGGTTCTCATGTCAGTGAATACAAAGATGTCATGTGGGTTGTAGTGCTATGCAGTCTGGTAGAAGTTTACCAACATTTCAGAGGCCCTTGCTACCTCCATAATAAGGGTAATCACACATTGCCCTGATGATGGATGCTACAACCCAGAAAACAGCCACCTTAGACAGTGCCTTATATCCGCACACAGGTCCTGATTTATTTTTAAATTATTTGAAGAAAATTACTTGGCACTGATACTGGTGCTAAGAGTGGCTGGCAGATTTTGTGGTGGAATGATATGTGAAGTGGGAAAAAGCCTGAAAAGACTTTATTACTTTGTTCAGAAGCTATTAAATTTGAATACCTTTGCTGGGAGATGTGTTCCTTAAGGCATTATTTTAATAATCCCCCACAATAAAAGAGTAATGTTGATTTAAAATGACATGCCTTCCAGACTCAAAAATATTTAAGACTATTCTGTGATAAATAAAAAACCTGAACTTTTGGCAGAAACTTTCTTTCAATATAGAGATGCTACTAGAAGTTATAATTTGAGTATATAAATTTCAATAAATTTTTGTGCTCTTCCATTAATTCTCTGTACATTAAATTTTAACATAATCATAAAAGTTTGGCACTATCATGGAATTTATTTGTGGTTTAATTAATAATTCTCTCAATTGCTAAAACTACATCAAATGATAGGATGATTAATGACTCAGACACAGTGTTGAAGGAAGTGGTCATGGATTAATTTAAGTTACTACTCTGGCATTTTCCTGGAGACTGAAAAACATTATGAAAACCCTCATCCAAGACAGCCAGTCTTCAGACTAATATTTGAACCTCACACCTCCAGACTACAAAGCAGGAGCACTGCACACTTGATTGTATTATTCAGTACTGCTATAATGAATAAGATATTTGTTTACAGTGGCTCACATATTGAAGCTACTGAACAAAGAGGTACAAGCAACTTTCATATAACCTGCCATGTTCTTAAAAGAATAAAATCTTCCAAAGACCTGTTCTCTGTGTCAAGGTACTAGTGTTGCTTCTACCCCAGGAGGCATCATAATGGTCTCTAAGGGCATGATACTTTTATAATTCAAGTACATACATTAACTGATTCAAAGGATATTGGGCACATAACCCATGTACATGACACCATAAATCGATCTCTTCTAAATAAGGAAATCAGGCTTATACTATGCAAGTATGTTTATTTTGAAGCTGTACTGATACTTATTGATTCATTAATGAGCAAATACAATATAATTTCCTCAAAATGTAGAACAGGTTGTTAACTTACAATTTTACATTAAAATTAAATTTAATACAGTAAGTCCTCATTTAACATGTAAGGCATGTTCCTCAAAAGTAGCACATACAGTGAATCCACAATGGATGAACTTAATATTGTATGGGATTAATGGGGCTATGAGAATGTGACTGTGAAAAATCAAATATATTGCAATGACATTTATTTATGAGCAAACTGTAATATAATAAAGTATCATCAGAAAGCTAAGCATTATATTAAAATATCAACAGAACGTCAGACTTTAAATAAAATATCAACAAAATGTTGGCCAACTGCTGCTGCACTCATACTACTGTGCAACTTATGTAGTGTCATAACCTTATATAACATTTCTTTTCTCCATTATCACTTTTATATTTACATAATGTTGCCCAAGAGCAACATCATAACTGTAAAATACAATAAAATTATACAACGCAATTTAACATGGTAACAGTGTAAGCAGGACTGAGACCATGGGTTACATGCAGATGGGGGATGAATAGGGGTGAAAACATGGGATGACTGTTGAGCTGAATATTTAGTCTTACATAATTAGAATACAAAAACCAAGTTGGTTATACAAATACATGTATGAAAGCTAAACTATCTTAAGCATTTTAAACAGCATTGTATTTTTTATGTGCTACTATAGCGTATTTGGCAGACCGTGTATAATCAAATTTTCCACACTCAGCAAATATTTGTTTGCATATATTTCCAGATGTATAACTAAATTGTTAGAGAAACATGTGTTGGGGGAGGGTTTACTGTTTTTTAATGTAGGGGCAACTGAAGTGTGGGACAAGGAGGGTCTTTGTTATATTTTAAGTTAATGTTTGGTATATTTGAGCAAATCTCTAAATTGGTACACAATATACAAATCAAAATAAAAGACTACTCATTAACTTGAGAACAAAACTGAATATTTTCTTGGTAAAGCAATAGGCAACTTTTTGAAAAAGTCTGTTAGAAATATCAGATTTGTTTTAGTGAGGTTTATTTATTCCTACCTTCCACACCGGAACCTACGTCTTCTTCTCACCATTATAAAGATTTATCCAGCTATTTTCAACAAGCCCCTATCCAGACAAGTTTAATCATATCATTATTTTAAAGTGCATACATTCCGATGAAGATAGCATGTCTCAACTAACTGACTAGTCACACCCTGCTCTCAGCAAATCACAATCACTTAAAAGCAAAACACATCCAGCAACATCATATTTCTGAAAGACAATTGCAAGTTAAAGCTTGCTGCCACCCAATTCAAGAAGTGCCTATTAGATGAACTGAGGTCTATGTTTGAGAGGAGAGAGACAGTAACAGCAATGTCCAAGTCCCATTATGGTGGATTTAAGGGAGTAAAGGTGAGTTAAAAGAAGTAACCAAAAGGATGTTATAGTGCTTTCTAATAAAATGGAAGAGACACTGGTTGAGAGGCTTCTGCCTAAAACAGAGGACTAGATTTGGCATTCTCATGGTGAAGGTGTCTGTTGATCTTCTGGGTTCTAGTCATATGGACTTGTTGTTAGTAATGTTTTAGAAGAATTTAGTGACTCCATCACAGCTGAATTGAGGATGTCATGAAGTGAATAGATTATATATGGTTAAGAGAAGGGCCAGGCCAGGGGAACTGGCCAACGAGAGCCAAGGATTGAGCAGGAGATGTGGATACGGGCTCCACTTACAGTCACTGCTTCACCTGGCCCTCAGGTACATCACAGTGTCCTCCTTGAATTGTACCTAATCAAACATAATGGTCAGACTTCCCCTTATTCCATCTTCCTTCCTGGCCCCTTAAAGGCTCAATTTCGTCTCTTTCTCTTATGACCCAGCTGTTCCCTCTGTGTAGGGATGTTTCTTATTGGCTCAGACCATCTCCACATCCCCTCCTCAACACCAGCTTCTGGTTTGCAATTCTCTTGGAATGGCCTTTCTCCTACACCCTTGGAATGTACAGAGGTTCCAGGAATCAACTAATCCAAAGCTAAAGATCTGAGTAAAGAGGGTAACTATTTTAACAATTTGAAATACAGGTAGTCCATATAATGCCTTGAAAATGGCAGTACAACCACAGATACCTTCTGTTATCATCCCTGATTTTAATAAGGGTCACTTCCCCCTTTGTTAAGCTTCTTCCCATTTATATCAAACACATAATTTTGAAATACAATTATAATGAACTAGATACAAGAATGGACAATGTTCAGAAAGACTATGTAATACTGAAAGTTTCTTTAATAATGTATAATACTCATACTAAACTAAACTACCTTTACACCAAAACCAGCCAAGTACCAGAAGCATGGGTATGATAATGTGCTGCTTGCTGGTCAAAGCTATCACACTTCTCCTTGGGCAGTAAGAGATCAGTATACAATAATTGTTAGTGTAGAGAGCAATAGAACTTGGAGAAAATGTGCTACACTACAACTCTGTCCATCATGAATCTCATCAGAAGTCATCTGGTATTAAATCCAGTCTCCATAGTGAAAAGCCAGCACCTAGCTGAACTATGACAAAGCCCTTGCATAATGATGATACTGAACAATAATTTTGAAATGCAGATGATAATTTTAAAATGAGGACCCTAGGAAATAAATATAAATACTTCATATTTTAATATTTTCCGTCAAATCACAATTTTTAATAAGATAATAAAATATAAAATATTTAATCATTCGATGCGGAACGTGAAATGATATTTTAAATATTTTATATTTTATTACCTTATTAAAAATTGTGATTTGACGGAAAATATTAAAATATCAACCTAATTCACAATATGACGCAAATATACTACCTTATAAATACTTCAGAGAATAATAGACTGGGAAGCATGAAAACAGTTAACATCCATTCTTATTCCATATGATTACCCCACTTATCAACAGTGACAGGGAACACGTGGTATATGTGGTGCCACAGCACAGTAAAGAAACATGGCATTTAATTTCTGCAGAAAAATGGGATAATTGTATAAATGTCAAGAACAATGCTTATAACAATAATCTACATACTCAGGATGAACTGAACTTCATTATCTGAAGTCACTGCAACATCCCACAAACTATACTGCAGAGTGTCCTCCAACACACCCTGTGATGCACGACTTTGTATCCAAACCAATAAAGCTTCAATGGCCATGTGTCACCAGCTATCTATGTCACAACAGCATACAACTACTATTAAAACAACCCAGACCTAAAATCCATCCTGCAGCCCAATAGGATAGGAACCGATACCCCATATCCCCATAAGATACAAGATAATACACAGTCATTTCAAAGGATAATGTTTGTTACTACAACTTTTCATGCTTCCAGCTCTTCCATGCCAAAAGTTTTTACAAAATATTTATTTTCAAGAGTCTGCACTTTACTCTGCACATTGTAAAACAACATTATTACATGTGAAAATTAAAATGTACGTTCCATTCTGCTAAAGTAGCATGTAATGAATGAATAAAGTTTCACATACTGCAGATATGGGCACTGGGCAGAAGTTAATGGACAAAAACATACTCTGACCACATTACTTTCAGATATATTACAGACCAGCTGGTATCAAGGGCTCGTATGTCGTGGCCAAGAGAAAAATTCCTGCCCCTATCGTGAACTGAACATTGCTATCTAGACTGCAGCCGGTCACTTTAGTTACAGAGCATCTCATGTCCAAAATATTAATGTGGAGATATTTATAGCAAGTTATAACAGTAAGTATAGCTCTCTGCCTTCTGAGAAGCATTACTTACTGTCATAAGTTCATGTACTATGAAACGTATGATAATGTGAAGACAGTACGTGATATCCGACAATATTACAGAAACAAGAGTTGTGTGAGCAGAATTTTAATTGTGGTTCATCTTAAGATATAATATAATTCAAAGCAGGTGGCAACACGATTCACAATTTACTACAATTTACTCTTGATATATATATATATATTTATAGTACGTTCTTATGATATTTATAGTATGTACAAAATATCATTCATATACAAACATACTTCACAAGACCTTTTCTTTTTACATGTCATGCATTGCAGTTTTTAATTAAGTCATTTGGAAGAAGCCATGGGACAATTTTGCAACATTTTAAAAATTAAAGATTAAATTGCTGTAAACTGTGTAACATTATTCGCTACGTCTGAAGATTAAAACTTTCTCTTCTTTACTGTATCAACTTCGGAGGTGTCTGATGTTGCTGCCTTCATCTTGCAACTCCTCTCATCACCACCTTTTCCTTGTCTCGGATCAGTAACATCCATACCCACTACTGCCACAGTCCTTACCTTCTTTCGACTCGCTTGGCCTTCTGCCTCATCAGAACCTACTGGCAACACATTCCTAACAACTCTCTCCTCTACATCATGACTGGTACCTGCCTCTGCGATGGCTCCACTCTCCTCGCGTGCACGGCTCAGTTCAGCAGTCAGGTCACCAAACTTATGATCCCACTCTTCCAGATGTCTCTTCAAATCTGCAATCTGTGTGTCCTGCTCAGC